TAGTAGCAGTGCCAATTGCCACTGCTCCCCTCCCACCAAGTTTCTGGATCCTAGGGAAGCCTTACAGGTCAGATAACAAGACCCTGCAGGCCAGATCTGGCCCATGGGCTGGGGACTGAGCACCCTGAGCTAGGGCATTCTCATGGTAGAAATGTGGTTTCAACAGAGGGGGGAAGTGAATTGGGATGCCTATCTTTATACAGCCAAATTCATCTCTCAAGGTAAACGTTACAGTTGTGTGCTACAGAAGAGTTACTGGATCAAAACAGGGCCTTTCAGAAACATGATCCTCAAGGAGAATCAAAGACTGTGGCTTATTATGTGGGTGAAGGGCAAGAAAAGTGAGAAGATTTGGGAGTTAGCCTGCCATGAGATTGTTGGGCCAAGCATGCTGCCTAAAGGCCTGATACACTGTCAAACTCAGCTGAGTAGCATGGTGGAAAATTTCCGTCCCATATGCTGATTAGTTTATATTTAGCTCTCCTGGGATCAGACACACAAGAGAGAAGCTGTTGTTTCTACGATATTTTTACATGGCCTTGCAAGGACCCCTGTGATGCAAAACACAGCTTCTTAGTGCAGATTGCTAAACTAGCCTTCCACCATCACGAGAAGCGAGCGTGGAGGGGGTTAAGCAGTAAGGACATGACTACCACTGTCACAGCTCTTAATCACAGTAACATGATGGGAAATTCTCCAAAGTGGAACCCTCAACAAGCAAAGTTTTCCAAGGCTCTTCATACATTTTTATTTTCCCTCACCTGCAAACCTGGTCTCTGCCACATACTTCCAATCACCCAACCTATTACAGAAAGATATAAAAAGCAGCCACAAAGGCCTTTATTTCTGGAAGAGTTAAACCATTATAGAAACATCTTCTGAACTCTTCATGGACACGTTGTATAGAACCCAGCTAGTCCTCTAGTCATGCATAGGATAAGATGCTTTATGCCTGTTCTGCACATAAATATATATGAAGTGTTGATTCTGGCAAAAATTGTTCACTTGATTATTCCAATAAATTGAACTGAATCTTGTTATACTTAAAATACTGAAATTGAATCAAGTGTGTTATATTGTAAAAATATATTTAAATCACATCATTAATTTTATTTGATTATAGGACTTACATGGTATGTTTGCATATGGCTATGCATGTATTGTACATATGCATACATAATATGTTTATAGACATATGCATACATGCACTCAAATACCTGAACCCTAGCCTAAATCAATTCTGAGTGTGATTTATACACTGCTCAGTCTATATTTCTATTTCTGAATCTGATACATTGAAGACAGGAAATTGGAAATCTTGAATTGATTTCAGTTAGCATTCTGGTTCAAAGCCCAGGGTTAGGAATCAGATCTAGGTTAAGATTATTTGGTGCTGAATTTTTGTGACATTTTCTTAAAGGATTTCTGTCTTGTATAATTGACATGTCATTAAAAAAATGAAAGTTGTTCTTAGGGACCTTGACCATATCCACACCAGAACCAGGAAATATATCCTGGTCCCCTGTTTTAGATCTGACTAAGAAACAAAGTGTGGATCTGGGGATTCAAATAAAAAAAGCACAAAACCAAATACAGACCTTACATAAAGCTGCTTTGGCTGCTTTCTGTCTACTTATTTATGTAACGCAGCGTAATGTTTTCAGCACCCCTTCTACAGCCAGTGTCTTTTGGGGAGGGGAAATTCTTTCTTTGAGGGGGAATAAGGAAACAACTCTATGGCACATTGTTTATTCTTTTTCAAAATGCCAGCTGCTCGAAGCATGTGATAAATGGGACTTACCATGCACCTTCGACTGGCTCCACTTCCACTCTGCCCACTGCTCCATCCAGACCAGAACTATTTTTAACATTCCAGACCCCTCAGCAGCTTCCAACAGCCTTTATTTTTTAATGAGAAAGTGATGTTTCCCTCTGTCTTTGGCAATAAAAAAATATCCTTCCAAAATTAGAGTGGGCTGAGGCCCAAGATAGGTACATGTTAGAACTGTCTGAAGTGTCCTGAATTCCAAGTTGCTTTATCAACAACAATAAAAACTTAAAACGGGTTACTTGACCCAACCCAAAAAAATGTTTATGCAAGTTTTATCTAAACTCTTCAGGTTTTGCAAACAGACCTAGTAAATATTTAGATCTAGTCATTGGCAGGTTGAGGGCCGTCAGTACTTTGTTAGTTGAAAGCTATAGCTGTGGGAGTTGGCCTGTTCGTTCAGCTTAACAATTGCCCATGCTGATGCCATGTGCATCACTACTAGCGAGGAAATGGTGCTCTCAAGAAAGCGATGAGGAATCTGGCAAAGTGGGCGAATGGAACAAAACAGGAGAAAGAAGGAACTATACAGGCGCTCTGAGTACAGTATTTTTAGAAAGAGGGTTATTCCAAGATAGTGTTACCTTTGCAATTTGCAAGTAGTTTGCAATCTGTGAAAATATACTCTTACTGTTGTTGGAGGATTTAAAAAGAAAACATCCACATCTGGTTTGAATCTCAAGCTGAAGCTCAGTTTATCAGCATATTATATAAACAGTTCTGCCTACTTTTTTTTTCTAAATTTTATGTTAAAAGGATTTTTAAGGAGATGAGTCCAAACTGCTCCAATGTACCTGAAAACTACTACAGACATATGATGGATACTGAATGAGAATGCATACTGCCTCTGTTTTTCCTTTGGTGACAAACACATTACATTTGAAGACTCTTTGGGGAAGGGCGAAATCCCTATATGAAAAGTCTTAATGTACGATCTTGCTTTAGCTATTTTGAAAAACTGAGATAACTTGATCTGAGATAAATACATAATTGCAGTAGTATTTTCTAGGACAGTTAAACTATTCTGTAGGTCTTTAGAGTCATGTATACAGAAACGGATTAAAATGGTATAAAACTCAAGCGCTCTCAATTCTCTCGGACATCTCTAGAAAAGGTGCACCTATTGCTTCTTAAAACCCTTTAATGAAGTGACTTACAAAATAATACATATATAAACTCCTCCTCCCCTCACCTCTATTATCAGGAAATATAACTGCAATATGGCTTCCAACAGAAAAAAAGAAAATGTGAAAAATGAGGGGATCCTGTTGAGGGAAATATTATAAACTGCTAAGGATAGAGCTGGCAAGTGTCTCAACAAAATAACATCAAGTCAAATGGCCAGGTGGCAGTGTGTTTTAAGTCCTGGTGGATCAGAGAGCTCTAGCTGATGGTTTGAACTTCCAAGTTTTAGCTGTGCTAAGCATTTATTCTCAGCCCAGGAGACTGGAATACACTGATATAGTCAGAAAAAATATATATATTACAAAGGCTGTAGCATACTAAATCTAAATGCAAGTTCTCTGCAGACCAAACTTTTGAAGGGCAACCTCCACTCCCACCTCCTGTCTTGGCTAGGCTATTTGAACTCGTCTTGAAACAGTCGTATCCTGCAGCAAATGTACAACATCAAAGCACATAATTAATGCTGTTCTCTAGGCACATGGCAGTTTCACCATTATATTTTGCTTGGCTTTATAGCTAGATACAGACTCTCTGTAGCCAGATCACATAAGACTAACATCTGCCGAACTCAGGGCAGCGTTCTCACTAGGTAGCCTACATATATTGTACGGCTGGGAGTTAAGAATGAAAGAATCATCCTAAATCTTATCTGCAAAGATATAATGCTCCCATGGGGTGGGGGGAGGCAATAATGCGAATAAGGAGGCATTAGAGAATACGTAGTTTGTTTCTATCCCAACTCATCTTAGACAGGTAAAAGTGTACAGCTCATTAATGCTTAATAAACCAGTCTCGAAATCATAGCTGTGCTAAGTTTCCCACCAAGTGTACTAGAATTAAGACGAACCCCGAGCCCATGACAACACTGACAATAAACAGAATAATTTCACAAGATCCACCGATCCTTTTGCCATCCTTAGTAATGAGTTCTCACCAACGTGATTTTCTCTATTAACAAGATCATGCGCCACAAGGACCAGCGAATGCTGTGGCAGCTATTTGCCTGCTGTGAGCAGGCTCAGCAAGACACCGGTCCTCCTATTCCCAGTCACTATAGCTATTAGCCCACATGCAAGTAAGCGATCCCGTTTTCCACAGCAAAAAGCCCCCTGAATATCATCCACGGCACGTGGCAAACGTGCCCCGGGGCCTTGCGGGCACCCCCAGAAAGCTCAGGAACCAACTTCTCCTCCTATCCGACACCCGCCAGCCCAAAGTCTCCGGAGCCAGAAGCGCCCTTTGCACGACAGCAGCCGCACACCTGCCCCTCCAGGCGCAGCAGCGCAGGTGACAGGCCCAGAAGGGCCCTGTACATCATCCCCGGCAGCGTCGCCTATAGGAGGCAGAATACCACTCATCCAGCGCAGCCGAGAGCTTTTCTTTGTTCGCCGTCTCCCTACGAGCAGCATGCACGAAACACGCACCCTCCAACAAGGCACGGGCACCAGCGGAGCGGCCGCCTGCGGGCCGCGGGAGGGGCACGCCGAGCCCCAGCAGCGGCGGCGCGCAGGCTGCAGGGAC